TTTATTTACATTTCCTATGTATTCTGGCATATTGTCTGCTTTTTCCATTAGAACTTTTAAGACAATAGTTATTTTAAATTCACTTTCTGATAATTTCTCATTGTTGATGATTTATTACATTATCGTTTTAGGTGATTCTGTCCTTCCATGTTGTTATTATTTCTTCCTTTTTTTTTTTTTTTTTTTTAGCCTTTTGCATACCTTTCAGGTTTTTTTGTCAAAAGCCAGACACAATATATAAGATAATAGGAAGTGAGATAAATAGGTCTCTACTACCAGGTTTTATGTTTATGTGGCTAAGTATTGGGTTGTACTTAATGTTTACTCTAGCTGCCCAGGTCAGGAACTTCAAGTTCCTCTAGTGTCCCTGTTCCCTGTTTTGGTCTCTCCTCTATCTTTGGGCTTCCCTGAGAAAACTGCTCTTTGGGTAGAACCGTGTCTTTCAACTATAATCCAGTTATTACACTTGAGCCCTGTTGGTATGGTGGTAAGGATGGGGGAAAGCAAGTGTCCTATAACCTTACAATTAAATCCCAGTCTTTTAGTGGGCCTTTCCGTGGAATGTGACTTTCACAAGGCTTTCTTCGCTTCTGCTTACATGATACAAGAAAGTTAGAGTAAACTGGAATCCTCAGGGAAATGCGCTTTCCCCAAGTTGGATAAGTCTCTGGTAGTCAGTCTCTCTTTTCCCCTGGAGAGTAGGTATTTGTTATGGAGAACAATATAGGCATATTTTACACATGTTGCTTTTCCTCTCTTCCAACAGAGCCATAAGAGGATCTTTATGGCTTTTCAACATAATGACACGATACCTTCTTTCCTGGAAGTAAAACCCAGGAAAGGATGGGGACTCCTAAATCCAGGGACTCGAAATCCAAGTGTTTCTGAATCTCCTGATGGTCCATACTTAGTTTCCATCAATTCATCAAAATTATCATTTAATTATTGCTTGTTTATGGGTCCTGCATCTTCTGTTCCAAGTAAAGAGATCTTGGCTGTGGCTTTTTCTATTCGCCTGTCATTTTTGGGTGATGGTTTCCCTTGAAGCCTCAATTCTTTGATGGTCCAAGAAAAGTTTGCTTAGTTTCAGTCTTGTAGTAAGGACAAGGGTGACAACTTTCAAACTCCTTATAGGCTTAAGTTGAAACCAGAAATCCCTTATGGTCATTTTTTACAATTCATTTTTAGAGTAGTTATATTAGAGAAATTTTAAAGGTCTAAAAGTTTATAGCAGTTGGGAAGACCAGAATATTCAAGACTTTGAATGGAAGCAATCTATTTTCCTAGACATAAGGTTACTAATTTTTACATTAAGTTTTTCTGTAATAGCTTTATTGTATTTGACAAAATATTAACTTGAAAATCTATGATTTTTATATTAAAATTGAAAATATAATTAAGTTCTCCATCAGTTGAATATGTGTGTGTGTATTTATGTACATTTACTGTGTGCTAAGTACTATGATGGCTGTTTTACAAGTAAATCTTACCTTCATCTTACAAATATGTGGGATAAGTTCTGTTATTCTTATTTTATAGAGTAAGAAAGTGAGACACTAGAATTTGTGCTCTTGACTACTAATTATTTTATCTCTCTAAAGAATCAGGAATTATCTATTTCAGATATTTGGGATGATAGAAAGATGTATACTAAAGAGTTTAGCCAAAGTCACATTTATAGATTAGATCACTTTGAAATCAGAAAGTATCTCAGATTATACAAGTATGTGTTGGCCATCTATTCTTAAAGCATATAGATAAAAGAGTAATCCTAATTATAAAAGTAAAATATTTTACTGTATTCTTACTCCTTGATATCTCTACTTACTATTAATATGAAATCCTTCATTAATACTTTTCAAGATACCAAAGGCAGTAAAGTAGAACAAATTGCATCGTTGTGCACTTGACACCCTTAACACAGAAATGATAAATACTATGCAGATCTTTGTTTTGTTTCATGACCAAATGCAGATAAATCTTTCTTTTTCACATTTAATAATAAGCTATTCAATCTCATATCTATGCTCATAAAATAGTGTGTTTTAAATTTAGTTCTAATTTTAAAAACTTTTGACTATAAGCTATAATTATAACAATCAAAGTTATTTCCCGTAAGTAAATTATTTTCAGAGTACAGAGTAGATACCAGGAAAACACAATGATCTATTGTCTTTCATGTATACAATTTGTTGAATAAGATACTCTAAATTAAGAGCTTGGAAAACATCTTTGCTGGTATTTGAAATAATTAGGTGTGAAAGTCATGATCCAAGACCCTTTTAAGATTTAGATTTTAAGTGCTTTCTCTTCTACTTGTCCAGTTCTGACATTTTATCATTTGGTATTTAAAGAAGTGGAAATTCCCTCCTTCCCCCAAACACTGTAGACAAATTATATTTATGCTAGATAATCAATACTATTACAAGCAACCTGGCTTGGATATTCAAAAGCATTGGCAATTCTTTCTGAAAAGATGTTTGCCCACCCACATAAAAATAGGTCTCTCTATATTCAAATGAAATACTTTGCATAAATAATTTTTAGAGTGAAATTTTCCAGTGGGAAATTATTGCTCAATTGGACCAGTAAATCCAATTACTACCAGGAATCCCTTTTTCTAGGTCTTAGGCATCTTAAATTCAGTGTGTCCCAAACTCAACTCATCTCTGCCCCCTACCTTCCTCCCACATCCCCCATTACTTAAATTAATAAAGTACAGAAGACCTCATTGAAGGCAATCTTAAAAAGTTCACTTGTTTATTATGTATTTTTAAAAATATCACCTTTCTAGAGTGTAAAGTCCTCAAGGACATGAATCTTTCTTTGCATTAGTCACTGATAAATCTCAGATACTTAGGATGATGCCAAGCACATAGTAGATGCTCAATTAATACTGGCTCAATGAATGCCTCCTCCTATTAGAAGATAAGGTCCCCCAGGGATACAATTTTGTCTGGCTGACAATTATATTTCTAGTATCACAGCAGGCATTCAATAAATACCTGTTGACTGACCAGCTGAATGGCAGATTCAATAAAATTATACCAGCATTAAAATACTGATAGTGGAAGGGGAACATGGGAAAATGCCCTCTGCTCTCTATCTCTCAGCAATAAATCTGATTTGCCAATGATCCATTATATATAAATTTGTTTGTTAGGTTGTGATACAACTGAAAATAAATATTTGTTATATTTTTGATGTTTCAGAATGACTGTGTTACCTTCACTAAATTTTCCTGAACGTGGAACTAACTTGAAACACCAGCTCAGCTGTTAAGACAGACAGGTTCAAAAACAGTTTCGAGTCTTCCAAGTGTGAAGTTTGTATATTACAACTGTCTTCACCATTTAAGAAAATTTCCTTCAGATAAAAATTTAAAATTATCACTATCAAGGTCATTTAAAATTCTAACAATACTAAAAGTAGAAAAGACCTCCCTGAAGGTAATGTTGAGGTCTTATCTACATTTGCATGCATATGGTTGATGCCTTGACGATTTTAGTTATTATGAAAATGATAATAATGCCTGAATTCAGCATATATTTATACAATGATATTTTAGGGGTTTGAAATAGATGACTAAGCCATGCTATAGTCTAATCATTTCTTAATTATGAACTAATTGTCTATCCTCAGTTGTAATTCTGAGTTTAGTGCTATTCTGATGTTTATTTTGTTAGTAGTTACATAAAAGCACCCGGGTGACATATGCAACTTGGAGAAAGAATCGGCACTCTATTTTGGTTTCCTTGTCACTATCATACTTACCATGACAAAAGATCTTCGCTTTTTCTCTCTAATCCTCATTTCACCTTTCTGTGTTATATGTTTCCCTTTAGACATAGCACAGTGAGCTCAGATTAATAAGAAAAATAGAGTCACATTTTAAGATAATATTGATTCTGGAGAACAACTGAGGATGCTATGTTTTTTCCTTGAAGAATTGATAGGGTGGAATTCTAGAGGCACCATATGATGTCCTTCTGAAGAAAAGTTCAGGGGGTCATGAAACCCAGGCTTTATACCTCCAGAAAACTGCAAGTGTATGGAATCTCCTTCACCAGGGGGCCAGGTGATTCTTGAAGGTTAATATAATATGTTTTTTTTTTGACATGATCTTTCTTTGCTTTTAAATTTTCACAGAAATGCTGTCCACTTCTATACTAAGTTTTCTTTCTTTCTTTTCTTTTCTTTTTCTTTTTTTTTAAATCTTTCCCCTTAGGAAACACAAAGTGAATACTTTGATATGGAAAAAAAAATCTCAGGAAATTTGTCATTTTTGTAAGATGCTGATCTCCTGAATATTTCTCCAAGGTATGCTGCTGCATAGCTATCAGGGATAAGGAGGGCTTTCCTGTTGAGTTAACATGTTTCTGTTGTGATGGAAAAAAGTAAAAATTACAGTAATTTTGAGGGTCACTAACACAACTATTCTACCTTATGTGCTTAAACAGAAATATAGTATGTCAGCTGGATTATGGCTACTGTTGAGTTCTTACCCCTATTTAATAACAGGGAAGCTTTTATCAAACACTTACAGTTAATTTTCTTTAACTAAAAAAAAAAAAAGCAACAACAACAAGAAACTACTTTTAACAGTATTGTCCTCTATTCACAGGAGAATAGTTTGCTACTGATCTCTCTGGTTACTAACAGAAACTTTTGTTTACTGACAATTAGTTCTGGTTGTAAGGTTAATGAGATGTATGAAGTAACAATATGGGGAACAAAATTAAAACACAGTTCATTTTTCTTTCTTTTTCAGCTACCCAGACATATGTCTGATCTAAATAAGGAGGCCGCTTCAGAAATTCTTCACAAACACCCCAAGAAGTCATAAAATGAGGGTCCGTGACCTTTGTCTTTGCAAACAAAATGTTTAAATCTTCCCACTGATCAAAGAAAGAAAATCTCATTAAAAATAGTTTCAGAGAGATTGGAACAGGAAGCAGAAGATGTTAGTAGAACTTTCAAATTGTGTGTTCCTTGTATTACATGAATATAGTTATTTAAAATAAAATGTTGATATTACTATAACATAAGTATGATAGTATCCTTTTTTATTTCTTTGAAAATCAATTCCATACAGGAATATGTATAATAAAAGTAACCATTACTATATGACACAATTTCGTTCTGCAACTTGTGCGATCAGTGTAACTTTATCATCAGGAAGAAATGATCTTATCTGGGATGCTGAGCTGATGCCACTCAATTGTTTTGTCTTTTTCATGCTCAAAATAAAAACCAGAGCTCTATTTAGTTACCGTTCACCAGAACTTACTCTTTCTCTGACTTTTTCACTTTTGCAGATCTCCTCACCAATCTTGCCTCAGTGTTTGTCTTTAGTTATAATGATCTACACAGCCCCCTCGTAGAGAGACTATATGAGTTTTATTAACATGATACGTGAAAATCATTCTGTGCTCTCAGGAGTTGAGATACCAATGCAAATACAGAGGATAGGTTTATATGCTCAAGGTCTTGGTAATCTCAGCCAGCTTCACAGCAGATAAAAGACAATACCATCAATTTCTAAGGCAACTGAGTGACGTCAAGATTAAGATTGTGGCATAAGCCTAGCATAGGTTTGGGAATGGTAACCGTAGCCTGGATATTTGAAGATATAATCTTACACAATGTATTTTGTAAATATTTGAATTTGTTCAACATTTTAAAATTAAGATATTTTATATAGCAATTCAGATTTCCAGATGCTGTTGGAAAATTTTAAAATCTAAAATATGAGCTGAACTCCTTAGTTCAGCCTCCTTCCTGCTTCATACGTTTGAGTTCTCAACTCCCCTTTAGACACCATCTTTACAAAGTCAAGAGGGAGACTAGAGGTTTCAGTGATTGATACCAGCTCAAGGCTTACTTTATTTTATTTCATTATTATCTTGGAATTATGTTAACATCACATCTGAGAATTTACAAAGAATGTAAAGAACAAGATTTCTGTCCAGTAAAAAAAAAAAAAAAAGATTTTATATTCTGACAATAACTTATCAATATGTTTTGTGAGTATATAAAAATGCAGAACATTCTCTGTAGATTATTCTAGGCCCACTGCATGTTCTGTAGTTGTGTTCAAACTCAAGAAGAAAGAGGATGTTAGAACAACAACAAAACTAACATTTGCATAACATTTCATTGTATTACTCTTCAGTTTGAGAGGCTTTAATGATTCCCTATAACTCAGTGCATAAAGTCGGAAGTCCTGTGTATGAATTTTTTTTGGCTTCATCTTATCTCTCTAGTTTTATTTTCTAATATACTTAAATTATTTTATGTAATAAAGTTTGAATAAATAAATAATGAGAGAATCATACAAATCTCCACACTTGTTTATTTTTAGTAATTCATAAGGCAGACTTAGTTCACATTCTAGTTTAGCTCTTATTAGACATGCGATCTTGAAACTTTTAATTATTTGATCTTGATACTTCTGAACTCCAACTCATCATCTGGCTCATATAAGGATAAAATTGTATAAGAAGAAATATTCATCATCTCCTTTTCCCGTTCATACCATCCATTATATTGCTTTTTTTAGTGTTCTGTTAGCTTACAACATCTTCCAGGTGGCTTAAAAACTTAATCACATCCATTATAAGATTTCACACCCATCTCTATGTGGTATTAACATCTACTGTCATAGAGTTTGGCTCAAGTAATTTAGTATTTGTTTAAAGGTATATAAATTTTACTTTGCAACTGTGTTCTAACGTTTCAAGGGCAACGGAAATAACTCAAATATCTATAAAAAATAGCCTAGATGGAAAAAACAACTGGCATTTCTATATCACTTTTTGATAAGCAAAGGGCTTTCATATACTTTATCTGATTTACTACTTTAAAAACCTTTTAGGGTAGGTAAGGTAGATATTTTTATTATCCTAATTTCGTATATGAATTTCACATATGTCATAACTGAGGGACCTAAAGGAAATGTAGATTTCCTGCACATGGTTTCAAAATATTTTAATTTTTGTCTTCTGGCCCTGGATCCAGAGTACTTCCACTATATCACATTGTCTTCTAAGGAGCAAGTATAGTGGTAGGTTTATGGTTGATTGTAAGAATACAAGTCCATTGGTTGTTGATTTATAAAACCTAAGACAGGTTTTAAGATACAGACAATCTTTTCTTCATAGAGATTTACAAATGTGTCTTTTCAATGTCATCACTATCTGTAGTTATAATAAATAAAACTACTCTAATTTAGAGGCAAGGGGCAAGATATTTTATTCACCTGGATTTTGCAGACAGCCCCTGAGATGTATTTTAAAATTATTCAGTAGTTAAATATAATAGTTAGATAACACAAGAATCCACCCATTCCTAGAGTGGCACACCCGAGTTTTTGGCCCATTCATGCCACATTTTTGACCCCAGAAAGTGTTTCAGTTTGCTACCTCTGGTAAACGCATTGTCTACAAGTCATGTTTTACTCTTGGAAACTTTTTCTCATGACCCATTCTCAAGTATATTATCTTTCAGTAGGCTCCAGGATTCAGCTCTATTGCATATGATTTCTACTTAATGGATTCTGTCTCTGTCATCCCTGGTAATTTTTTCAAGTTAATTATTTGTAGTGTAGTAACACTATAATGAATAAAAAGTCTGCAAAAACAAAAGGTGAAAAACAAAAAGTGCTCACAAATAAATGGCCGACTGAATGACAGGTCTGAAATATACGCCTCATGGAAGTACGATACTCATTATATTTATTTTACAAGGTCAGAGATAATAGATCTGTACTACTGTAATCATAGAGAGGACACATGATATAACCCAGGAGAGAAGCAAATGGATCTGGGTGCTGGAGATTGCTCATGTGAAAGGAAAGGTCAGAATACTGATGGGTCATTTGCTAAGCTGTCAGAACCAAGGCAGTTCTATACAAATATACTGGGACTGATTTAGGTTTATTCACCTACCTTTCTGGCAGGTGAAAAGGATGCAAACACACTTAATCTTTCTATTGGTCATTAGCCCTGAAAAAAAAAAATCTTCGGTAGATCATGGCACATGCTTTGTGAATAAGTCTGACATGTTTTCTTAATGTGATGATCGTATCACTTTCCTGTTCATATGGATTAGTGGTTCTCAAACTTCAGTAAGCCTTAGAATCGCCTGAAGAACTTGTTAAAACATAGATTTCTGTGTCTCTCCCCTCTCAAAGTTTCTGATTTAACAGGCATGAGTTGGGATCAGGGAATTGTATTTCTAACAAGTTCCCAGGTGATGCTGATGCTGCTAGTCTGTGAGAAGCACTGATACAGATAAGAAGAGGTATTAGTGTAGCAAATCCTCAGATAGCCTTTATTAAAGTACGTTTCAGATGATCTGCATTAACCTGATTCCTCTACCATCATAAAATATTCTCATGATGCTAACACACCTTGCTGGAGTACTGGTAACTGCCAAGAATGTCTAAGAAACTTTGAGGGCCCCTGGGTGGCTCAGTTGGTTAAGCGACTGCCTTCGGCTCAGGTCATAATCCTGGAGTCCCTGGATCGAGTCCCACATCGGGCTCCCTGCTTGGCAGGGAGTCTGCTTCTCCCTCTGACCCTCGCCCCTCTCATGTGCTCTCTCTCATTCTCTCTCAAATAAATAAATAAAATCTTTAAAAAAAAAAAAGAAACTTTGAGATTTATTTTTTTATCTGAAGTAATATTTGCAAATAATGTAAATATAATCATAATATAATGGTAACCAGCAACCCCCTAGGCCATTTCCCTCTACTTGTACTTTCTGATACCCAGGTGCAACAATGTCAATATTTTATCTTTACTCTGTTATATGCATCTATATTTGTAGTTAACATGTGTGTATTACTGTTACTTGATTTTTTCATTTTGTTTTTTAGCTATTGTTTTCCTACTATATAAAATGTGTATTTAGTTAAGTTTTTCCACCCTTGCCCTCAACCTTCAGTGTAGCTATAAAACCAATTTTAGTTAAACTAGTGTTGGGATAAGAGTATTCATACCTGAATCAAATAATGTGCTACAATTATACTTTATTTCTTGTACATTATATTTTTTATCGCCTCTAGCCTGATTGTCTCGATTTTTATTTGCCTATATTTTTATGCATGCATCATTAATTCACCCCAATCTCTTCGGAAGAACTGTAACTCTCCTTTTAATACATTTTAAAAGACTAAACAAAGGGTAAGTTTGTCTATTTGGTTTTTAGTTTTTTTGTTTGTGTTTTTGCAGAGTCACTCAGGACTGGAGGATCTCCAGGCTTGCTGCCATTCCTTCAATGTTATAACTTTGCCATTGGCTCTCTTATTTCTTCTTCTTCTTTTTTTTTTTTATCTTAGTAGGGTTCCCTTGCCCTTAATTTTTCAAACTATTTCTTAATTATTCTATGTTTGCTATCCCATTTTCATCTTCCAAGAGCTCTTTTTCAAATTCTATACATGCTTCTTCTTCTTCTTCTTCTTTTTTTTTTTAATTTCTGTTTCTATGGAGGAACTTTTTCTTAAAGCTCTTTGAGGGAATTGAATTTAGATTTTGGGGGCAGGGAAGAATTTTTCTGAGCCTTACATTGTCTCTGTTTCCTTCAAATTTATTATGTCTCTTATTTATTTTGCCCTCTGAATTTTATGTTAAAAGCTCTCCCAAATATTTGGTAATCCTTGGCTACCTGTTCATACTTATAAGTGAAGTAGTGAAAATACTACTACGAAGTTTTATGGGTTGAGGAGGACTTCCCCATGTAATGCCTGGGTATATACCTAGAAGGAGTACCCCTATCTCTTTCAACTCAATTCTCCAGATAAGAATTTATCTTTCTCTTGTTTAAGGGGTATAAGGAAATGACAGCTTTCTGGGAGCCAAGTTGGAGCAGAAAGCTTTGGTTATCAATGCTTGGTATATAGACTTACATGGAATCTTGATTTTCACTACAACTTGGCACCCTTGTTTTCAAT